TGTGTGTGTGCCCCAAATCCCAAGAGCAGAATGGAGGAGAAGGGATTACAGCATGGCCATCTGTCTGGGAGAATGATTTCTTTCTTTCTTCCTTTCTTTTTTTTTTGGGGGGGGGGAGACATTTTTGCTATAGGGCTTGTGTGCTCGTCAAAATGACAGAGAGAGAGAGACAGAGAGACGGAAAGCGAGAAATTGCCCCCCGGGGGGATGGCCATGCCACAATCCCTTCTCCTCCATTCTCCTCTCAGGATCTTGGGCACACATGCACATGTGCCCTGCGTGAGTTTAAGCCACCAGGCCTGGGACTTGAACCATGGTCAACTACATGGGAGTCCAGCGACATAGCCATTATGCCAACTGCTTGTCACTGGGGGAAAAATTTCTCCCTTTCTGTCTCTCTATCTCTCTCTGCACATGCCCTATAGCAAAAATCTCTCTCTCTTAAAAAATTTTTTTTCTACAATTTCACAAGTGTTTACATTTCTGACACTCTACATTCTTTTCTGAAATTCAGGTTTTTACCTGACCCATGATCACTTGCTTCCAAAACTTAACGTTTCTTATAGATCAAAGGTTCTAGTAGTAAGTTCTCTCAACATTTTAAAAAGGAATTGTTTTATTTAACTTTGTTTATTTATTTATTTAAATTTGACGAGAGAGAGAAAGTGAGAAAGCAAGCCACCAGGTCCAGGACTTGAACCACAGTTGGCCATGTGGGAGTCTAGCAAGCTCAACCATGTCCCCTGCCAGTCTCCTTGTAACTTTCATTTGCCTGATAAAGGTATAATTTTATCTATATTATTCAAACACATTTAACCGGGCTGTAAAATTTTAGTTCTAAATAATTTATTTTAGCAGTTTAAAAATGTCAATCCATTGATTTCTCCTTCCCATAGTTTCTAATGCAAAGTGTGCTGTCATTCTTATTGTCTTCCCTTTATTTATAATGTGAGTTCACATGTACAGGTACCAAGGTTTAGGACTTCAACATACTTTTTTTGAACAAATAACTTAACCCACACCACCACCCATAGTTCTGTCCAACTATAAGGCCTCTGTTAATGCCCTAGGGAATGATATGAGTTGCCTAACTATCTGGTCAAAGTCCTCATGGTTGATTATAAAGAAAATTATCTGGCTAGTGTAAGTTTTTCTTTATCTGCTAATCTGCTGTGATAAAAGAACCAAAAAGAAAGAAGGAAAATCTTAGCTTTAAGTTTAAACTAATCCTTATTTTGTACACTGGCATGAGATTCTCGACTCTGAAGATTCTCCAACCCAATATTCCCTAAAGTGCAGCCACATGCTGAGTGCATTTCCCACGTCTGTCATTTGGAGGGTGGTGACACAGACCACCTCCTATGGTCTCACTTTGTGCCTGAGTCCATGCAGCCTACTGTCAGAAAACCTACCATCACTTAGTACTATTCATCTATGTCATCTTTTTCTAGAGTAAGATCACCCATCTAGGGAACCAGCAGTTAGCGTAATGGCTATGTCGCTGGACTCCCACGTAGTCGACCGCGGTTTGTGTCCCGGATCCGGTGGCTTAAAACTCACGCCAGGCGCGTATGCGTGCGTGCCCAAGATCCCGAGAGGAGAATGGAGGAGAAGGGATTGCGGCATGGCCATCCGCCCTGGGGGGTGATTTCTCACTTTCTGTCTCTCTGTCTCTCTCTGGCGAGCGCATGTGCCCTATAGGGAAAAAAAAATCGCTCCAAAAAAAAAAAAAAAGATCACCCATCTATGCCATCTCTGTCTATGTCTATTCCATCCCAAAAAAGCACCCGCACTGCGTACAGTTCCATCCATGAGTGGTTCATTCTGTTCATCTCTGAGAGGCCATTCCCATGTTCCCAGGCCCGGTGGCTCCCAACCACTGAATTATAGGTGTCCTTATCTCAGGTCATCCACAGCACATCATACGGCTCTGTCCTCATTTCCCCACTGACTCACAAGTACCTGGATCCCTTGGCCTGAGCATAAATCATGAGCTATTCCATTTAGACAAGTCAGGGTTAGAGACAGCCACGCCCTAATGTTGACCACTGTGAATGAATATCCATCTTGGCAGGAAAGGTACCTGGAGTCACTTAAAAATCTCTCCTGGAGGGCCAGCAAATTGGTTGAGGCACTGGATTCCCACATGACTGACCATGGTTTGAGTCCCGGACCTGGCAGCTTGAAAAATCCCAACAAATAAATAGATAAATAAATGAATGAATGTAATTTTAGAAAAAATGCAGAAATTATTAACATTTTCAAAGACTTAAATGCTGCAGGGATGCTGGTCCCTGTCATACCACCATTTAATTCGATTACATGAATTCTGAAAAATCTAGACAGATTGTAGTAAGTGATCCTGGACCACTCCCAAAATAACAATATTTCCCTCCAAATATGGTTACCATGGTGATAGATATTGATAGACATATATTTGGATCTATTTATTAGATACAATTTTTATGAGCCTGTTGATCTTATCAATGTTGGTATTTGCAAAACTCATAAGAAAGTGTGGTCAGACTACGGTTCAAGTCCTGGGCCCAGTGGCTTAAATTCATGCTGGGCACATGTGCGTGCATGCCCAGGATCCCAAGAGGAAAATGGAGGAGAAGGGATTGCGGCGTGGCCATCCCCCCTGGGGGATGATTTCTCACTTTTGGTCTCTCTGTCTCTCTGGAGAGCGCACGCACCTCTCCAAATTTTTTTTTAATTTTATAATTTATTTCTATAGGGGGCTGGTGTTGTATTGCAGAGGTTATGTGTATGAAGGAGTTGGATCTCACATGGCTGTTCAAATTGTGGCCCTGGTAGCTTGAAATGCCAGGTGCATGTGTGTGCAATACCACGATGGAGAAAGGAGGGGCAGGGATGGCAGCATGACTAGGCCCCATTGGGGGATGATTTTTTTAAAACAATTTTATAGCTTGATTTTTGTTTTACTTTCAAAATACTTTGTTGATATGTTCTTGTTTCTTTCTTTCTTTTTCTTTTTTTAAAATTATACCTCACATAGATGTACAACAACTAAGTAAGGAGTGATTTCTTTTTTTAATAATTTAGTTTATGTTATTTTAATTTCTTTTATAAATTCAATCACTCTACGTCACTTAGCTTGTAAAGTGAGTGATCTCTCTCTCTCTCTCTATGTTTTCCACTCATGACAGAGTGTGTGCACATGTAATAGAATAAGAGAGAGAAACACCCACCACAGGGGTTAGTCATGCCATGATCCCGAAGTCTTCCAGTCTAGCAGGATCCTGGTGTATTTTAAGGTTAATCACACCAGGGACTAAAGCTGTGGTTGGCATGTGGCTTCCAACTTCACTGTACAGTGCTCTACTAACAGTGTCACAGAGACTGGGCTGAATTAAAGACTTAAATGTAAGACTTAAAACTACGAGTTAGTAGAAGAAAATAGAAGAAATGCTTCAGGACATTGATCTGTGCAAATATTTTAAAGATAAAATCTCAGATGCACATGAAAGAAAAGCCACAGTAGACAAATGTGATAACATCAAAGTAAAAGGCTTCTGCACAGCAAAGGAAACAATCAACAGAGTAAAGAGACAACCTGCAGAATGGGGGAGAATATCTGCTTTACATCTGGCGAGAGACTAATAACCAAAATATACAGGGCACTCGAGCAACTCAACAGCAAACAAACAACTAACCTGATTAAAGAAAAGGCCAAAATCTTTAGATTTTTGGCCTACTGAACTGTGAGATAACAAATTTCTGCTATTTAAGAAAAAGGTAGGAAGATATTGATCTGAACAGGAAGTTCTAAGAAGAAAACCATACAAATGGCCTAAACGTATACGAAAAAATGTTCAACCACACTAATCAGAGAAATGCAATTTAAAATCACAAAAGAAGCATCACCTCACCTTAGTTAGAATGGCTATTATCAGAAGAAACAAAGAATAACAAACTCTGGTAAGCATGGGAAGAAAGGAGATCTCTTGTGTACTGGCTGCTGGGTCCAAGACTCAAACCCCGGTCAACTATGTGAGAGTCCAGCACCTTAACCACTATGCCACCTGCTGGCGCCCTTTTGTGCACTATTAGTGAGAGAGTAAGTTGGCATAGCCGCTATAAAGAACAGTACCGAAGTTTCTCAAAAAGTTAAACATAGAACTACCTTATGAGTCAGATACGCCACTACTGACGTATACCCAAAGGGGAAGAGATCAGTACGTCCAAGAGTACGTCCAATAGGCACTCTCGGATTTATAGCCAAGATATGGGATCAACCTAAGTGTCTAAATTTATGAATATTTTACTGTTTTCATGCTCATTTAATGATTTTGTCATTGAATCTAATGATATAATTCAGCCAGAAAAATAATAAAACAATAAACTCAAAAATAGAGAAAGAAAAAAAGATGGGGGCATAAGTATTGAAAAATTATACACATGTGAACACAAACATGCACACCGTCATACACAGACATATACATGTATGAGTACTCAGAGTTCAGCTAAAGTATATTTAGAATCATATCCTATAAATAAAGAGAATAAATGAAACCTTGCTCTAACTTAACAAAATAGCTGAAGTTATTTCAAATTAGTCACTTACAGTCTATGTATAAAAGAGTAATTCTATTTAAGATGAGTTAAACAGCCCTATACCCCCCTCCCCCAAAACACTCAGTGGTGAGGCACAATGCTAGTCTTATCTAAAATAAAACGGTAAAAATAAATAAAATAAAATAGTAAATATGTATTTAAAATAAATAATTACAGAAATGTATGTGATTGAAAAATCAGTAGTTATTGGGAGGAGCCAGGCAGTGGTGCAGTGATAAGATGAGAAGCTCTGTAAGGCGGGCTTTCATGCGAAAGCCTGGGTTCACGTGCAAAGACCTCCCTGAGGTCTAGGTATTTTTCAGAGCCTCTAAGGCACTTGAGATTTGTTTCCAAGGCTCTACCACTCTGCGTGGGGCACAGCTCTCTCCTGCACCTCCCGGTTTTCTCTGGCTGTGCTGAGTTTCAAACAGCAGTGCCTGAGAACCACCAGGAAGACGCCAGCCGTGCCCATCTGGATGAGATTCTCCACTGTGTAGTCCTGGGCTAAGAGGTGACAGAGGTCAGGGCACATCAGCCTCACCCCAGGACCCCAGGATGTCTCCCCAGGACACCTACCTCCCTTGGCAGGACTTGGACTCTGTGCCCAGACCCATTGCTGAGAATTTCTCCCACTCCCCAGTCTTGGCGTCTGACAGCTGCTCCTGAGAACCAACGACAACCAGAACAGTGGGGAGGGGTGGGCGAGGCGTTGAAGAGACCACACCTACATTCTCCTGGGGCGCTGGATTGCTAGGTAGCTCCCCTTCTCATATATACCTGCCACGTAGTTCCGTAATAAAGTCTGTCTCTGCTGTGGTACAGGTGCGCGCGCGTGCACGCACACACACACAACGTATATTCATAGCTCTACATATGTTTGTATCTATTAGGTCGTCGGGGAAGTCACGACTTATTTTTCTGTTTTCCTATGCAAAAATGCATCGTGACTTTCCTAAAGCCCTAATAACTGTAGTTATTTACACAGCATCTATGTGAATAATATACATGTGTATTTGAAGTGAGAAAGCAGTATACAACTTAGAAATAAACTAATGAAACTTTCATCTTCTTGTGGTTAATATAATTTTTATGAGCAAATCAGGAAAGAGCAATTGAAAAACATCTGAAAGAGAGGATGCGAAGTAAGTTCATAGGAACTGAAATTAACATTCCCCAAACAACAGTTTTCTTATATATAGTTAGTTACTTTTAGAAGATATGAAGGAATCAAAAACTTTATTTATAAATTATGAAAGTAACAGAACAAGTCTTTGTTTTAGAGAGATTTTTTGCTACAGGGCATGTGAACTCACCAGAGAGAGAGAGAGACAGAGAGCACGAAATCACCCCCAGGGGGATGGGCACACTGCGATCTCCTCTCCATTCTGCTCTCGGAATTTGGGGCATGCATGCACCTGCACCTGGCGTGAGTTTCAAACTGCCGGGTCTGGGACTGGGACAATGGTTGGCCATGTGGGAGTCCAACACCTTAACCACCTGTTGGCCTCAACAGAACAATTCTTAAAAGTAGCAATCGGTGTTCACAGTTTTTATGAATAAACCTTCAAACTCTTCTGAAGTCAATGAATAGGATTCAATTTTAAACATCTTGAAGAAGACAATATTAATAAGTTATTCTTATAAAGTGCCCAAATTTAATCTAGTCATAATTAAAACAAGAGTAGAATTACTTGTTTAATTTATTTTTTAAAGAATTAAAAAATATTATTTATTATTTCTGTTTAATTTGATCAGAGAGATAGAGGGAGAGAGAGGGAAAGTGAGAAAGTAAGCCACCAGGTCTGGGACTTGAATTGTGGTGGGTCACGTGGGAGCCCAGTGCCTTAACCACCACGCCTTCTGCCAGCCCCAGAATGACTTGTTTTAAATCATAAATTCGCATAATGAGTTGTAAACTCACACAGATAAGCACTGCGTGAAAATGTCAGGAGCGGAGTGAGGGCCACCAGTACAGGCCGTGATGGGTTGCCCCGGGCCCTGCTCCTTCAGTGAGCAGGTGCGGCCCTCCTGAGTCCCAGGTGTGCCCAGACCGCGATGGAGGATGCCGGACGAGCGCAGGAGGGGCTTTGGTGGGTCACATGGATGGGCCTGGATGCTCGCGTTTAGGCTAGTGTCCAGGTGGGCCTGGGCACCCAGAGATTCTCATTCTGAGATGAAGACATTGCAGTGAGCAGGTGGGGCCTCAGGCCTCACGCCTCCTCTGAGGCTCACATGTCTGACCCCCACTCCTCCCCTCGCTGGAAGGCGCCATCTACCTCCCAGGCTCCTGGGCTGCACCTCCCTGCGGGCCACCCCACCCCGTTTCTTACTGTCCCAGAGCTCTCCTGGACAAGCCCTGAGCTGACCCTCTAGGCTCAGAGAGGGTGTGGTCAGAGGCCCCTCACCGGACACCGTGGACTCAGGGGTCACCGGGCTGTGACAACAGGTGGGGAAGCTGCTACGTGAACGGAAGCATCTGTAGGTCCCCCTGTGGGCCGAGATCACAGGACCATGGAGAAAGCAGCCTGGTCCTCTGGAGCTCGGAACTTTGATCTAAAACGTGGCGTGTGTGGGGGTGATGGCTGCCCCCTGAGGGAAGGAAAATGCTGAAGGGCCCGTACCATGATTGTCATGGAGAACTCCGCCTTGTCCCCAGGATCCAGGGAAGCTTGTGTCTCTGGGCTTCCCTCCTTATCCAGACGGTACTCCCGGGCCTCCAGGCTCCCCTGACACCAGATGGTCACGGGTCTCCCCAGGGTGACCACAGAGCCTGGCTCAGCCCAGATGGTGGGTCTGGGGAGGGTCCCTGGAGGGAAATGAGAGGCTGGTCCCAGGACACCCCCCTCAGATCCCAGCTCCCAGCCCAGGCCCTCCAGTCGTCCCCCCTCTCAGCCCAGAACTGCTGTGTCCATCCCCAGCTACCCAGGGGTGGCCCCTTGTCCCCAGGAGGAGGAGGGACCTGGGACCCAGGACACACTCACCTACCTGCCCTCAGGTGAGGCCCAGACCCAGCCCTGGAAGAGAGACCCTGTGAGAGGTTCACCCTGGAGTTGAGCAGGTCCTGCCTCCCCTGAGCCTCCTGGGCCCCTGGGGCTCCGCAGGTGCGGGTGTGGGGGGGGCCCTCCCAGAACAGGGTCTCCCCCGCCCCTCCTCCATCTCACCAAGGCAGAGCAGAGCCGTGAGGGTGGGGGTCATGGCGTCTCCCCCACTGGTCCTGGCTGTGCAGACGGAGGAGACCAGGGTTCCTGGCAGGACAGACAGACACACAGGGTGTGGGCACTCGGAGGCTAGGCCCTCCCCGTCAAGGGGCTGTCACATCATGAGCCCCAGGAAGGGGAACTGGCTGTCCCAAGGGACCTGGCTCTGGTTTCCCCAGGGCTGGGGCTCGGTTGGGCCCCAAGCTCTCTGCAGACATTTCAGACAGAAGCTGGGGCTCCCCTGACCATGGCTACCTTCTGCCTGATCCACCCTCATCTCACTGAGAGCCGGGAAGCGGCTCCAATAGACCTGGCACCTTCCTTAGTTGGTCCTATAGTGAGGGTGACCGAGGGCTGCTCCCCCTCTCAGAGCCTGCCGGGGTCCCCTGCACCCCTTCAGCCATCTACCAGCCCAGGCTGTGGTCCTCAGCAGGGACAGTCTCAGCCAGCCCCGGGTGCTCAGGAGGTGCAGGCTCAGAGTGCCCAGATGACTCAGGACCAGGGACACAAGGACCTCTGACTGCAGATCCTGGTGAGCTGCCTCGTGGCCAAGGGCATGAAGGGGACACAGGGAAGGAGGGAGGGTGTGACTTCTCCTGGCCCTGGAGCGTGGGTTTCATTTCTACTAAAAAGTCCCCTGGAGCTTCCCTTTTCCTTTTAACCCCAGCATCCATCCCCTCCTCCCACACTGCCTGGAGTTGCCTCTGCCTCCTCCCACACTGTTAGAGTCACCTCTGCCTCCTCACACACTGCCTGGGGTGGCCTCTGCCTCCTCACTCACCTCCTCACGCACTCCCTGGGGTGGCCTCTGCCTCCTCACTCCCCTCCGATATCATATAAGGTGTATATGTGGGTGTGCTCATAATCCCAAGTGGAGAATGGAGAAAAAAGACCTGATGAGTGGCTCATCTCTCACTTTCCCTCTCACTGTCGGCCTCTGCCTCCTCACTCACCTCCTCACTCACTGCCTGGGGTGGCCTCTGCCTCCTCACTCACCTCCTCACTCACTCCCTGGGGTGGCCTCTGCCTCCTCACTCACCTCCTCACACACTGCCTGGGGTGGCCTCTGCCTCCTCACTCACCTCCGCACGCACTCCCTGGGGTGGCCCCTGCCTCCTCACACACTCCCTGGGGTGGCCTCTGCCTCCTCACACACTCTGGACCTTTTGTCTAAGATCAAGTGCAAATATCCAAGGAATTCAAATAATTCAATAAAAAAAACAAACCAAACCAAACAAAGGAAAACACTTGAAAAATGGGGAGCGGACCTGAGCAGCCACTTCTCCAAAGAAGACACACAAATGGCCAACAGGGTTATAAAAGATTCAGGCTAAAGGCTTTGTCTCCATGTGTGGAGACGGTAATTTTATTTATTCTGATTTGATTGGTTTTCTTTCTTTCTTTTAAAAAATGATTGAATTTTATTTATTATTATTATTTTTTAATTTGCTATAGGGCACATGCACTCACGAGAGAGACAGAGAAAGCAAGCTGCCAGGTCCGGGCCTTGAACTGTGGTTGGCCACATGGGAGACCAATACCTCAATACCTCAATCACCACTCCTCTTGTGGGCTCCTATTGATCGATTTTTTAAAGAGAGATTTTTGCTGTAGGGCATGTGCACTCACCAGAGAGGCAAAGACAGACAGAAAGCGAGAAATCACCCTCCGGGGGCGGGGAGGGTGGCCACACCACAATCCCTTCTTAATTCTCCTCTTGGGAACTTTGGCTTGCACACGCATGCACCCGGTGTGAGTTTTAAGCCTCCGGGTTTGGGACTCAAACCACAGTTGACTCTGTGGGAGTCCAGCAACATAACTATCTGCTGGTCCCTTTATTGATCTTTGAAAATCAGAGATTTCCGTGTAAGTTCCTGTGAGAAATCTTCCTATGCCTTTCCCATGTTATAGTTTCATCAAGTTTCGGTAGCAGTTTTGTCCTTGCTTGATACAATGTGTTTGGCTGTATTTCATCTTTTTGTATTCTCAGGAAAAGTCTGTGTAAGTTTTCCCTGTGTGTGTGTGTGTGTGTGTGTGTGTGTGTGTATTTCATGAATGGATAAGTGTTTGGAAGAAATCAGTAATGAAACTTCCTGAACTGAAGAAATACTTGATGAGAGTCCATGTACTTAATGTATGTAAGAGTCAAGGCCTGCTTGCAGCCAGGTCCCACGTGGACAGCTGCATTGTTTCAATTCCGGCTCTGATCACTTGAGAAATATGTTGGGTGTATGTGTGCACATACTCAGGTATCCCCCAAGAGGTGCACATACTCAGGTACCCCCAGGAGGAGAGAGAAGTGGAGGAGAGATGGTGGTGTGAGCATTCCCTATGGAAGGTGCTGTCTTCTCTCCTCTCTGTACCTCTGTCTGTCTCTGGTGAGTACATGCACCCTCTAGGGAAAAAAAATTTTTTTAATCAATGCTTATGTCCATTTTATACATTATATATGTATGAATTTTAAAAATGTTATCTATGTTTTCCAATAATACTGACATAAAATGATTCATAATGTTCTGCTCATATCTCTTCAAAGTGTGCGCAGGGTCTGTAGTGATGCCCCCTATTTCACTCCTATATTGGAGATGTGGCTGCCATCTCGTGGAAGTGAAACCAACGCCTGCCTTGGAGCAGTGCTGCTGAGGTCTCTCTGACCAGTGTCACTCCGCCCTTCTACAAGCATGGGGAATATCTTCGCAAACCTCTTCAAGGGCCTTTTTGGGCCAAAAAGAAATGTGCATCCTCACGGGCGGCCTGGATGCTGCAGGGAAGACGGTTCTGCATAGACTGAAGCTCATCCTCACGGGCGGCCTGAATGCTGCAGGGAAGACGGTTCTGCATAGACTGAAGCTCATCCTCACGGGCGGCCTGGATGCTGCAGGGAAGACGGTTCTGCATAGACTGAAGCTCATCCTCACGGGCGGCCTGGATGCTGCAGGGAAGACGGTTCTGCATAGACTGAAGCTCATCCTCACGGGCGGCCTGGATGCTGCAGGGAAGACGGTTCTGCATAGACTGAAGCTCATCCTCACGGGCGGCCTGGATGCTGCAGGGAAGACGGTTCTGCATAGACTGAAGCTCATCCTCACGGGCGGCCTGGATGCTGCAGGGAAGACGGTTCTGCATAGACTGAAGCTCATCCTCACGGGCGGCCTGGATGCTGCAGGGAAGACGGTTCTGCATAGACTGAAGCTCATCCTCACGGGCGGCCTGGATGCTGCAGGGAAGACGGTTCTGCATAGACTGAAGCTCATCCTCACGGGCGGCCTGGATGCTGCAGGGAAGACGGTTCTGCATAGACTGAAGCTCATCCTCACGGGCGGCCTGGATGCTGCAGGGAAGACGGTTCTGCATAGACTGAAGCTCATCCTCACGGGCGGCCTGGATGCTGCAGGGAAGACGGTTCTGCATAGACTGAAGCTCATCCTCACGGGCGGCCTGAATGCTGCAGGGAAGACGATTCTGCATAGACTGAAGCTCATCCTCGCGGGCGGCCTGGATGCTGCAGGGAAGACGGTTCTGCATAGACTGAAGCTCATCTTCACGGGCGGCCTGAATGCTGCAGGGAAGACGATTCTGCATAGACTGAAGCTCATCCTCGCGGGCGGCCTGGATGCTGCAGGGAAGACGGTTCTGCATAGACTGAAGCTCATCTTCACGGGCGGCCTGAATGCTGCAGGGAAGACGATTCTGCATAGACTGAAGCTCATCCTCGCGGGCGGCCTGGATGCTGCAGGGAAGACGGTTCTGCATAGACTGAAGCTCATCTTCACGGGCGGCCTGAATGCTGCAGGGAAGACGATTCTGCATAGACTGAAGCTCATCCTCGCGGGCGGCCTGGATGCTGCAGGGAAGACGGTTCTGCATAGACTGAAGCTGGGTGAGACCGTGACTACCACTCCCACCGCAGGTTTCAGTGTGGCGACTGTGGAGTACAGGAACATCAGCTTCACTGTGTGGGACGTGGGTGGCCAAGACAAGATCTGGCCTCTGTGGCACCACTATTTCCAGAACACACAAGGCTTGATCTTTGTGGTGGACAGCAGGGACAGAGAGCGTGTGAAGGAGGCCTGTGAGGAGCCCGTGAGGATGCTGGCCGAAGACGAGCTCAGGGATGCGTCCCCCTCATACTCGCCCGTAAGCAGGAACTCCCCAGTGCCACGGTTGTGGCCGAAATCACAGATAAGCTAGGGCTGCATTCTGCACCACAGGAACGCGTGCATTCAGGCCACCTGTGCCACCAGTGGGGACGGGCTCTACGAAGCACTGGACTGACTGTCCAATCAGCTGCGGAGCCAGAAGTGAAGAGCACGCTCCCTCTCCTCCCCTCTCACTCCTCCTCTTCGGCCTCCGCTTCACTCTCGGTGGCAAGCGTGGGACTCTGGAACTGAGTGCCAGAAGCTGTCTCCGTGGGCTTTGGCCACAGTGTGCATCGCCCCATGCTGTAAACGTGGCAGACGCAGCCTGCAGCCAGGTTTTCTACTTAATGTAAGTAGTTTTGTTCTCAATGAGGCAGTTTCTGGCACTCCTATGCAATATTACTCAGGGTTTTTTTTTGTTTTTTTTTTTTTTTTGTAAAAAGAAAAATCAGGTCACTGTTTAGTGCTGAGAAGGGATTTGGGCACTGGCGTGGCCTCCAGGAGTCTGTGTTAGAGCCCGAAGCACCTCCTGGCTTTAAATTTGTGTTGAGATCCATTTTGGTGGTTGTTTTTTAACCCAAACTCAGTGCATTTAAAAAATAGTTAAAATACAAGATATAGAGAACATTTGAACACCCAGAGTGGGGCTACGCCTAGTGTAGGTTTTGCAGCAATGGCCTGAAAACCAGCCCATCGGATCATCTGTCCCCCGTGGGAACGTGAGAGACAGTGACAAAACCGCGATCAATTCTGCACGGTCACAACAGAGCTCCCTGTGACTCCCTTGTCTTTGGGTCACCCTGCATGCCATAGCGTTGTGATTGTACCTGTACCCACAAGGTCACCTGGGGGCCAGGCTGGGAGGCCACAGCCATCCCGACCTTTCCCCCCAGGCTAGGCCCCAAGGCCCTAAGGAGGGGTCTATACAGCTGGCTGCAGCCAACTCAGGGGACACAGGGCCCTGGCCTTTCCCTTGGTCGACATGTGGCCACACGGGAGCCCCTGCTCTTCCCAGCGCTCACTTGCTCACTTGCTCAGACAACGTTGGCGGGATGTCGGGGTCTCAGGAGCAGGAGCAGGTGCAGGCCGGGAGGGCCTGTCCATTCTAAAACGAAGCCCCTCTGGAGAGCCTCCATCTCCATGTGTGAAGTAACATTCCCTCCTTCGGCCTGCAGGGGTCTGACTTGCCATTCAAAAATACGAAGTGTGCCTTTTTCTTTTGTATTTTGATAAAACATTGAAGAAGCTGGAGCTGTTAAGTTTAGCTAGGGTGAACCTCAGAGCTGGTTTATCTGGTGTCGTGCTCTCACTGCACAAGTACATTTTGTGTACTTGTTTTCAGTTTTCATTTTGACAGCCAGGCACTGTAATTATAGCTATTAGGATAAAGTCTTGGAGACCAGCAGGTGGCGTGGTGGTTAAAGCTCTGGACACTCCCACATGGCCGACCATGGTTCGAGTGCCAGACCTGGTGGCTTGCTTTCTCACTTTCTCTATGTCTCTCTCTGGTCACATTAAAATAAATAAATGAATAAATAAAATGAAATAAGTGATTCTTTTAAAAAAGAATAAAATATTATAACTTTAAAAAATTTATCTAATTTTATTTATTACTGTCATTTTTAATTTGACCTGAGAGATAGAAAGAGAAAAAGGGAAAGTGAAAAAACAAGTCACCAGCTCCGGGACTCAAACCCCAGTCAGCCACGTGGGAGTCCAGTGCCTCAACCACCACGCCACCTGCCAGCCCCCAAATCTCATAGCTATTAAAACAAAAAAAAGGAAATGCGTGCCTCCCCTCTTTTTCCCTTTGCCATTGTGCCTAGAATTTACAAATGTCATAAACTCTTTTAAGAATGGGTTTTCTTGACATTGTTGGTTTTCTTCTGTCTTGTGTCTGTCCTCACCAGCAGTACTGCCGCCATTGTTATTCTCTTGCTACACCGTCACTAGAATAATCGGCTCCTGGTTTCCTAAACTGGCTACCCGGGACCAGAGCTGCAGTGGTAATGCCCTGCTCCAGAGGATCAGGATCCCACGTGGCAATGCAGCCCGAGTCCCCTGCGGGACAGGACACCCAGCACGCGTGTGAGTGCCCAGGGTCTGGCAGCTGGAGGATCGGAAAAAGGGGATCACGGCGTGATGACATCTTGGGGAAGGTGCTCAGCACTCTCTCTCTCGTGTATGTAATGATTTTCTTTTCTATTATATTTTTGCGATTTTATTTTCCCAGTCCATAGGTTTGATAGGTAATATTTACAGTATCTTCCCATCTAAAATCGTCTCTACCTCCTGCTTTATTTTCTTATTCACGGCGGCGATTGCTGAGAAGTCTGCGGCCTCCTTTCCCAAGTGCAGGCGTATTGGTATCTCTGACAGCAGAGTCGGGTGACTCCTGAAGTTCCCAGCATCTCCTGGGGCCTCTGCGAGGTGCCCGGACTGGCTGCGTTCACTAGTCAGTGTCCCTGAGGCAGCTCCTGCCCTCCCCGGATCCCTGAGCCTCCCTCCCTGGAGTGTGGGTTGAGTCCTGGGCCTCCCCGGATCCCTGAGCCTCCCTCCCTGGAGTGTGGGTTGAGTCCTGCCTGGGCTAGGTCATGGCCAGGGTAGTGTATATGCCGGACGGAGCGAGGGGCTTCCCTTCCTGGGATGGAGGTTCGAGCCGTCCAGCTGACCAAATCCGGGGGACTTCAGACGCCATCTGGAGAGAGGGAAAGCACGAGGGATGGTTCATGCGTGGGGTGAGGAGCCCGGGAGTCTGGGGCAGGACACACCTGACTGCATCTGCCCGTCCTCTCCTGCTTGTGGTCCTTCGTGGCC